AAAAAAAAAAAAAAAAAAAAAAAAAAAAAAAAAACACCAAACAGAAACAAAAAAGTATGTAGCATGCTAACTTGACATCTAAACTTGGTCTGAACTGAGGTGGGGCTACCATATTATTCCTACTTCTTTTACTTGGTATACATACTTACATATTTTTTGCAGAAACAGTACTGTTTTTATTTCAGTGTACTGTTTCACAGGCTGCTACAATCACTGTGGAATAGATAGTACATACCTTTCTAAATTTGTGAAAATTTCTAACTTTGGGACATATTTGGATCCAAAAGGATCAGATAACAGACTGGACTTGTACTACTTTTAGAAAACCAATGAGCTCACAAACTTACCAAATTCTCTTCTTTCCAGTGTTATGATTTCAGGATCATCATCATAAATACCTAATTTCAGAAGTACATAAAATTATTAAAAATTCCATAAAATAATTTACCATATAAAATATTCACTATTATTTTAATAATTAAAAAATCACCATACTAATTCTCAGACTTAAATAATATGTGACAAACTAAGAGAAAAAGTCAGCAAATATTCTCAGTGATACATTTAGATAGTGATCTAAAGATACGTGTTTCCTGACATGGCCTGCTACTGCACTGGTAAATTTGTGGGTGAGTGGGTTCCTAATATTCACATACTTTTATCTCTACAAAAACTTTCTACATTTTTAAACACTTTATTTAGAAATAATTATAGAATCACCCGAAGTTGCAAAAATAGTACAGTCTCTCATATATCCTTTTGCCAGTGTCCCCTACCGGTGAAATGCTACTTATTTGTAATATAAAACCAAGAAATAGAAAGTGCACATTACTGTTCATTGGGTCATTTTCAGGAAACATGATTTTTAATAAATCTATCACTTTAAAATGTTTTCGACTATTAAAAAAACTGACAACAAAGATAATTAATAGCAATTATAAATTTTATTTACCATAAAAAAATCAATGTGAGAGAATTTCTCAAAGCTACATAAAACAGCCAAGTAACATTAATAATGGATGTATGCAGGGGTCAGCAAACTTTCTGTGAAGAAGCCATTATAAAATATTTGGGCTTTGAATGTGGTATTTGTCATGAATACTCAACACTCAAATTGTGAAAGAAGCCACAGACAATATGTAAACAAATGAGCACAACTGTATTCCAATAAAAACTTTTAGTCTTGAGAAGCAATTTCTCCAGAAAGTAACGTGAAGTATTTTATTTAGTCTAGTACCAAAGCCTTCTCGGCCTGCATTTGAGGTCAATGAATGAGTATGACAAATGCTGGTTATCTGAACACACTTTTCTGCCTTGATAATTTCATTTGCTTTGCCACCCCTCAGTTCCTTTAACATGTTTCCTCCCTCTCTCTTGCCTTATTCCCGTCAGTAACTTAAACCATTACCAATAAGGATTTTACGTGAAAAGGACAGCATTTCTACTGAAGTAGCCACCATTCAACTTAAAAGTTTAACCTTTGCTGGAAAATCCAAAGTTGTAAAAAACACTTGAAAGGCTTCAAAAGTAAACTTTTCTTATGCAAACATATAAATTTTATTAAACAGTAATTCTTATTTTAAAAATATTAAAACTTAGCCAACACACTTTTTTCTGTACAGTTAATCTCTGTATACTAACCTCCTTTTGAATTCCGTTCCCACAACAAATGAAAAGTTAATCGAGGTGACATATTAACTTTTTTTTTTTTTTTAACTCAGGTTTAAAGTATCACCTTACCAAAATCGTAACGATAATAGTTCCAGCTTTCATACTGGCCTCCTTGGTTATCTTCAAGTCCCTTCTCTCCATATTTATCATACTTTTTCCGTAGATCTTCATCTTTGAGTACTTCATATGCTCTATTTATTTTTAAGAAATCACCATGCGCATTTGGGTTGTTCTGTGAAAAAAATTAGATATAACAAAGTTATTTCAGATGCACAAAATCTCTTCAAAACCTTTATACAATATACACACTTCATTATTCCAGAGATTTGCAGGATACAAGATACCAACATAAAGTACCAGGGATTAAACTCTGGACTTTGTACTTGCGAGGCAGGTGGTGGAACCACTGAGCTAGTACGATGTGATATGAATTAGCTTAGAATAAAGAAATATTTTGTGAGGAACTATCTAAAAAAACAGTAATAGAAATTAAGACTCTTCAAAAGGTTGACAGATACGGCCATGTCATATGTCATCCCTTCTTAAAACTACAGCTGAGACTCTGAAATTCTAAATTTTAGAAGTATTTGTATACCTTGCAAGCATAAGGACCCGAGTTTGATCCCCCGTACCAAAAAAAAAACAAAAAAACACTATTTGTTACTTCCAAAATGGACTTTTGTGGGTAAATTTTAGACAAATGAATTAACTAAAGAAAGTATGCTACTATCCAGCAGATAGTTAAATAATTAGTATCAGGGTAATATTTCAAAGCTGATTCAGAAATGATAGGTTAGTTTTTCAAGAATGTTTTCATTTAAATAATTCTTAGATACAGGCCTACCATTTTTTATATGAAAAATGAAATTTTAAAAGAAAAATTATGAGGGAAAGATAACCAACTAACTAGTGGTGGGGGAGGGGAGCAGTTGTCTTATTTTTGTGGTACTGAACCCAACCAAGGCCCAGAGCCTCTGCACTGAGCCCATTACAATTTTTTTGAGTCAGGATCTCCTTAATTCATTAAGTTGCCCAGGCTGGGCTCGTGATACTCCTGCCTCAGCCTCCCAAGGTACTGGGATTATAGGTATGTGTCACCATATCTAGCTATAAATAACTTTTAAGGAAATATTTTAATCACTCAACTTTATGTAACTGAAATAAAATAAGCCTATTTCAAGAATTCTCCCTAGAAAAAACTGTAACCATGTCCTTTTCGTTAAGAGTTAGATAAAATATCATCAAATTTTATTTATTTTGGTACCTCGGGACCTTGCGCTTGCGAGGCAGGTGGTAGAACCACTGAGCTAAATCCCTAGGCCCATCAAATTTTAAAAAATGTACTTTCTAAAAACTACATTATCAGCAACACAATTAAATGTTTTAAACTGAAAGTATACTGAAAGTATGCTCTCAAGTTTTTGTTTTTTTGAGACAGGGTCTCACCATGTAGTTCAGACTGCTCTGGAACTCACTGTGCAGCCCAGGCTGGTCTCTCACAAGTTTTATTAATTTATAGAATTTTCTGGCACTGGAGATACAGTCCAGAGGCAGAACACTTGCACAGTATGTACAGAATCCTAGGTTGAATATCTAGTACCAGAAACAAAATAAAAAAACTAGAAAAAACAAAACCCCAAAATGTTTGTCTGAGAAATGTCTGTTCATTTCAGAGCCCATTTTTGAATTGATTCTTTGTATTTGGGGCGGTCTGATTTTTTAAAAATTTCTTTATATATTCTAGAGTAGACACCTTGTCTAAGAAACAGCTCCCCCCCCACACACATTTAGGTTATCTCTTCACTCTGTTGGTGGTTTCTCTTGCAGCACAGCAGCTTTTTAATGAGATCCCAGTTGTTGATTCTTTGTGCTAGTTCCCATACTGAGGATTTGTTTATAGTCTTTTCCTATACCAATGTCTTCCAGTGTTCTACCTAACTTATCTTCCAGCAAGTGTTCAGAGTTTCTGTTTTAATATTTAGATCTTTAATACATTTTGACTTTAGCCTAGTACATGGTGAAAGATGGAGGTCTAGTTTTAATCTTTGGTAGGTTGAAATCCAGTTTTTCCAACATAGCTTATTAAAAAGGCTATCTTTCCACCACTGAGGATGGTTGGCTCCTTTGTCAAAGATAAGGTAGCTGAGTATGTATGGCGTTGTTTCTGCATCTTCTAACCTATTCTGCTGATCCTCGGGTCTGTTTCTTTGCCAGTACAACGCTGTTTTTATCACAGTGGCTTTGAGAATAGTTTCAAGTTGGGGACTGTGATGACCAGTCATATCTCTGTTGCCTAGAATGGCTTTTGCTAAACAAATAAAAGCAGCAAATAAATATATGAAATGTTCAACATCACTAGTCATTCAAGAGGTGCAGATGAAAACAATGCTGAGATTCCACCTCCCTGAAGAAAGAATGGCTGCTATCAAGTAACTAACTGATAAATGCTGGGGGATTGTGGGGAGAAAAGGAACCCTTCTCCACTGTTGGTGGAAGTACAGACTGGTGCAACCACTATGAAAATCAATATGGAGATACACCAAAAAACTAGGATTAGAGGTCCCATTTGACCCAACTATACCTCTGCTGGGTATCTTTCCAAAAGAATTAAAAGAAACATACCACAGCAATATATGTGCACCCATATTTATAGCCGCACAGTTTGTAATGGCTAAAACTTGGAAAACAGCCCAATTACCCATCAACTGGAGAGTGGATAAAATGTTGTTCTATAAAATGGAGTACTATTTAGCCACAAAGAATGAAAAAGCTAAATGGATGCATATTGAGGCCATATGCTTAAGTGAAATAAATAGGACACACTTTGAAATACTGAACAGTTTCTCTGGTGCAAAAAGCTCAAAGTGTAAATAAGGTTCAATTGTATAACTGATGTGAAATGTAAACAAAATAAAAAAACTAGAAAAAACAAAACCCCAAAATGTTTGTCTGAGAAATGTCTGTTCATTTCAGAGCCCATTTTTGAATTGATTCTTTGTATTTGGGGCGGTCTGATTTTTTAAAAATTTCTTTATATATTCTAGAGTAGACACCTTGTCTAAGAAACAGCTCCCCCCCCACACACATTTAGGTTATCTCTTCACTCTGTTGGTGGTTTCTCTTGCAGCACAGCAGCTTTTTAATGAGATCCCAGTTGTTGATTCTTTGTGCTAGTTCCCATACTGAGGATTTGTTTATAGTCTTTTCCTATACCAATGTCTTCCAGTGTTCTACCTAACTTATCTTCCAGCAAGTGTTCAGAGTTTCTGTTTTAATATTTAGATCTTTAATACATTTTGACTTTAGCCTAGTACATGGTGAAAGATGGAGGTCTAGTTTTAATCTTTGGTAGGTTGAAATCCAGTTTTTCCAACATAGCTTATTAAAAAGGCTATCTTTCCACCACTGAGGATGGTTGGCTCCTTTGTCAAAGATAAGGTAGCTGAGTATGTATGGCGTTGTTTCTGCATCTTCTAACCTATTCTGCTGATCCTCGGGTCTGTTTCTTTGCCAGTACAACGCTGTTTTTATCACAGTGGCTTTGAGAATAGTTTCAAGTTGGGGACTGTGATGACCAGTCATATCTCTGTTGCCTAGAATGGCTTTTGCTAAACAAATAAAAGCAGCAAATAAATATATGAAATGTTCAACATCACTAGTCATTCAAGAGGTGCAGATGAAAACAATGCTGAGATTCCACCTCCCTGAAGAAAGAATGGCTGCTATCAAGTAACTAACTGATAAATGCTGGGGGATTGTGGGGAGAAAAGGAACCCTTCTCCACTGTTGGTGGAAGTACAGACTGGTGCAACCACTATGAAAATCAATATGGAGATACACCAAAAAACTAGGATTAGAGGTCCCATTTGACCCAACTATACCTCTGCTGGGTATCTTTCCAAAAGAATTAAAAGAAACATACCACAGCAATATATGTGCACCCATATTTATAGCCGCACAGTTTGTAATGGCTAAAACTTGGAAAACAGCCCAATTACCCATCAACTGGAGAGTGGATAAAATGTTGTTCTATAAAATGGAGTACTATTTAGCCACAAAGAATGAAAAAGCTAAATGGATGCATATTGAGGCCATATGCTTAAGTGAAATAAATAGGACACACTTTGAAATACTGAACAGTTTCTCTGGTGCAAAAAGCTCAAAGTGTAAATAAGGTTCAATTGTATAACTGATGTGAAATGGGAAGAAAGGGGCTAAAGGAGTAGGGGAAGTAGGAAGGGTAGGGGAAAGGAAAGAAGGGAAAAGAAAAAAGAGAAAAGGAAAAAATGGAAAAAAAAAGTCTTTGTAAAAAGGGATGGGGATGAAGGGAGGGCAGGGGGAAAAATAAGAACCAAGATACATCATGTAAAGGTACAAGATCCCAATGATGAATGTAACTGTACTGTTTACTTAAAAAGTACTAATAAACTTAATTAAAAAAAAAAAAAAACCAACCCAAAATGAGTAACAACAAAAAAACCCCAAACAAACAAAAACCCTCCTAACTGGTCTGTGGTCATGCACTTTATAAAAAACAGTGACAGTTAAAGCATGTTATTATTACCTATTACTATTATTTTAGCACGATATACCCTGTGAATCCTAAGGAAACACTCTGTTACTCTTCTAAAGTACTTGATCTCAACATAGTTTACTATGAAAACTATTTCTGAGACGTTAATAGTTTTGGGATTAACATTTTAAAAATATCTGTGGGAAAGTAAGTTTGCAAATTAAGAGGCAAGTGTGTATTTGGTATTGATATTCCTTTACACTACTCCAAATAGAACATATTCCTTCTTCCGTTTTAGAATACCAGCTAAAATAGGATTTTAAACATGTATTGCTTGTAAGCATTTTGAACCCTTATTTACAATAATTGAAATATCCAAATGTACTAAAATGTAACAATCAGAAATTTTCAAAAACATTTTACCTACCGGGTTTTTATCAGGATGTAACTTCAGTGCTAATCTCTTAAAAGCTTGTCTTATTTCCCTACTGCTTGCCGTTTTGGACACTCCAAGTAAACTGTAAAAATCCTGATCTGTGCTCACTAAAACGGCCATATACAGTATCAGAAGACAGAGACTGATCCTTTTTAGGTCTCTGATACAGTCATTTTTATGTATCCAGACTCCCATTTTCCTTCTCATACAAGTTCTGACTTAAGCGAACTTAAGACACAATGCTGAGTCCAGCGGGTAAGATACACAAACCCTAGAACTTCAGTCCACATTCCTTCCAGGGTGAGTCAAGCATCAGAAAATCACCTCCAAACATGTTACTCTAAAAAGAAGAAACCAGGTAGTTAAAATATATTTCAAATTAAAAAGCAGTAACATTATCTATCAAACAACACGGTCACCAGTACCATCTCCATTAGATGGCTTGAATGCCCCAGGATCTATTCATTAGTTCCCCTTTTCACACTAGTTTGATACTGAAATAACCAGATTTATGAAATCACTCAAGACAGAGATAAAAGGTGGGACAGCTAGAGCTACAATACTTAAATATAGCACAAGAGCATTTTATACAAATCTGACTAGCATCAGAACACCACGGTGTGAAATAAACTTATTTCCTTCCTCTTTCTACCCAACTTTGTTTTCCTTTTGAACCACCTCTTCCTTTTAAGCACCCAATAAAGCGATTCAATTTTGTTTTTAATGAGATCTCATTGGTAGTAAATGTCCTTTGAGGGGACTTAGAAGGACCCATGTTCTCCCAAAGGGTCTGCACTTTCCACCTAACTCTTTAAAAAGTGTCAGTGAATTACACTGTTGTAATAGATAACTTCCTTAGAAAACAGGCCAGCCTTTCCTGTTTTCCAAGATGCTTACATTTGAATGTGTTTCTAAAAACAGAATGATAATTGCAAGAATCAGCATTAACTTTACTGTCAAGTTCATGTTCAGTATAAACAAAAATAGGAAAAGAAACAAAAAAAAAAAAAAAAGGAGAAAGGAATCAGTTACACACACAGTTCTGCTGGGCAAAATGAGCCATTATTTCACCATATTAAACTAGTACAGTCCTTCAGTTTTCATTTGAAAAATCTACCTTTCCTAGCAAACTCGGTTCCACCTTTCATTTGATCCCGTCTATTTTTAAACATTTCTCCTTACCCTTGAATGTTCTATTCACCCTATCCAAACTACCTTTCTCAAAACGCACTGATGGAGAACAAGAAACAGTCCGCCTGCAACCACCATCCGAGAGCGAGCCGAACCTCGGCCCACACCTGGATGCCGCGTCCAAGCTCGGGCGGT